AAAATATGTGAACTGTTTGCAATTTCAAATTAATATTGAAATGTACAGGTTTAGAATTTTCTACAGTGAAAAGTTTTCGGAACATCAGTATTCAAAAAAGTATACAAAAGCTAGACGTTAAGAACGTATCCAATGAGCGAGCAAAGCGAGCATTGGATTGCGAAGCAATCCGAAATGAACTGCGAAAGCAGTTCCGGGGGTTGGCGAGCGCCAGCGAGTAGGGGGCAAAGCCTCCTAGTAAAATATAATATATCAAACAGTCTTGAATAATAATAATAAAATACATATTAAAAACAGGAGAATTATCAAAAAGCAAAAAGAAAACATAAGTTTCTTTTTTGTGTTCCTCGTTGCTATGGGATACCAGACTGGCAGCGTTGAGTTGTAGACAGTAGGCCACCACAATGTATTTAAAATCATTTGTTTCAGTACTAAAATCATTCAGTACATGCATTAAATATTTTGAGTATTCATTCACTGAGTAAAAAGAAAGTATACACTATATTTTCGCCTTAATGAACTCAATCACGAAAAGCAGTAAAATATGATTTCGTCATGTGAGATAAATTTTGATAAACATGGTAAAATTTGGCAAATGTGGTAAAATTTGGCAGTTTTATCATGATACCGTAAAGCATTGCACGAAATAATTTATGTAGTGAAATTTATTTCTCAGTTTTGTATTTTTAACAATTGTGTAGTAAGAAGCCCTACAATTTTTAAAACCTGAATTTCAGGTGAACCCTTACTATATAAATCGAAAAGATACCAAACAAATGGTTTAATACCAGAGAGAGGTATGGTAAACTTCTCGATGTATGGCGAAATACGCAGAAGATAAAATTAACATCAGATGGTCGAAACTTTGGACAACTGTCCTGAACAAACCATTGCTACCATATTTCCCAAATTGCGGATATATTTTGGAAGTCAAAAGTCCGAATCTGTAAAACAATAATATGCTTATTTATTATCTCGTGTGTGATCTCGAAACTTGAAGTATCATCATCTTCAGTAATTAATAAGAATATTTAAGGTCACAACCATTAAGATTGAGTCCAAGTACGTAATCATTAGATCAAAAATTGTTCAGGGTGGTCCGTTTTTTAATTCACGCACATTACAATATTCGAATTCTTAAAAAATACATAATTCCAACTGGGAAAATCAAAATATATGGCATTCAAACTATTCATTTGGAAATTTCTCTGTTCATGTATTAACGGTTTACCAAAAATTCTGGTATTTTATAATATAAAACCATATTTTACTGATAATTTTACCACAATTATTATCAAAGCTCATCGGTAAAAGATATCGTGCATTTTACTATTCCCATAAATGTCAGAAACATGGTATATTTTATCATATTCTAGGAATTTGGATCATATTGTTTTCCTCGGTGTAGAACTGTTTAGGATTACCAAAGAAATTTTGACCAAAATTAATGAATTACTTGATAATAATTAATATTTTTCTTTATAGGGACAAATTAGAATCTTTTTGAACTTCACATTTCCTACTGAACTACCAGAGTTCACGATTAAGCAGTGGCATAGTTTTCATCGAAGATTTGAAGTAGTATCCTTTCTGTCGCAGTAGTGACATACTGTTACATGAAATCCATACCAGATTTATAGATAATTTACTTACCTCTAAATATATTTGGAATCTACTCTATAGTCGGATCAGTTAAACTGACTAAGCAATGTTTAATGTAAAATAGTGATAGAAATGAAAAAAAAACTAATGAACCAAAGAAAATTGTGCTTAAAAAAATTTATAGTGTTTTCCAAAGAAATTATTATTGATGTTTTGAAATTTAATATTTTTTGCTGTGTTTTAAATTTTGATTAATAAAATTGTACGTTTAAAAACAACATTAGGAAAACTCGTTCTTTTCTGTTTCGGTCAAGGATGCTTTTATAATAAATTATCGTTATGAAACTCAATTTTCAAATTAAAAATCAAATCAAAATTTAGAAGACAATCCTGAATCTTATCCATTCAATCGGTAAAATCATAGGCTTTTGTAAAAAAAAAGTATTGCACTGATGCGCATTCTTTTATAATCCCCTTCTTCTATAAATGTTTTCGAAATTCTTATTAAAAAATTTAATTCAAAAAAAATAAAATGCTAGATGTTCTGCAAAGATTACCCTTAATATGCACTGAAACCTCGCAAAAAGGAAATGTTCGCAAAAAGGATACACTTTAAGGGTCGTATATTGATGTTTAAGCGAGAAAAAAACAAAAAGGCTTTAACAAAATGACAAATCGCAATAGTACGGGAAGGTGGATGTAATGAGCAACAAGGCAGGTTAGATTGCGAGAGGAAACGAAGTGGATTTCAAGGATATATCACTAATATAAAGATAAATTAATTAAGCTAATTAATTGGTTTCTAAAATACATTTTGCATATAATGAATGATCCATGGGTAATACATGTTTCTAAAATAATTTCCTTCGTACTATATATTTAATTGTATAAAACTTTTATCTAAATATAGAATACAAAATCAAAGTTAAACCTTTTGTCTTATATGAGAATAAAAAAAGACAAATATAGTATTTTAAGTTTTATACAAAAAGCATAAATTGTTAACTTTAAATCTATTTACGTTTGAAAATATAATCAGGAGAAAGATTTACATGCTCAATGTCTCCTAGAGGCGAATAAAACTTTAAACTTTGAATCTCACACAATTTTAATCGAAAAAAAATAAAGCGCTCTTTTTACCAAAATTGCAAATTTTTATTCTGACTGAAATTCAGACAGGAAGATCTGCAGTTTTAAAATATGTTCCGAATAAGTACGAAAATCTATTTCGGAAATAAGTACGTCTAGACAAGGCTTAACCTATATACCATTTGTATAGTCGTGGATTACCTCATTATTGAAAAACGGTTACATAATAGGTAAAACTGATTTAGTTTGAAGAAAATCATTACCGGTGAAACGTGATGATTTTATTGGATTTATTTCCCAATAAAGTATGGCGAAAATATCAGAATTCATAACTGGAGCTATCTTTTTCATCTCGGTAAATTTGCTTGAAATTATATAAAGGATACATAATATTAAATACAGCACAGTACGAAAACCATGCGAGATTTTTTTATCCATTATTAATATTTATGTTCGGAAAAAAGTGATTTTCTACACTTATTTAATTTTTACACCGTTGATTTTAGTCATCTCATTCGTAAAATATGCAATAAACATCAAAGCTCATTTTAAGTCTTACGCGAATTCTGATCATTGGTCATTTCTTCTAAATTATGTCCGAAATAATTATAATATCTGACTAATTATAATATCATAAACACATATGAAGATGATTTATTTTGTTCTAAATTTATCTTAATTTTTTTTTCCAATGTACTGTCTTTAGTACTGTTTCATCAAAGATACGAGCAATTTATATATTTTTTAGTGTTCTTAAAGCATTAAAATCTTGTATATAATAAAATATTTTAGTGTTCTCTATTTCCACTAATATTTAACTTTGTACAGAAATTCAAATCTCTAAATGAATGACTCCCATTATTTTTCTTAACCATTATCATCCAACTACAAAAAATTGTGCATAGATAATTAAAAGCAATTTTAAAAAAATAGCCAAGTACATCTTGGTTTCTGAACCAAATGGAAATTTCTTTCTATTACCTACCACTTTAACTTTAAAAAACATTGTGCTTTGACTTAAGATCTAAGTATTTTTGTAATTAATATATTATGCTAAAGAAAAAAAAATTCTTTGCAAATTAAATCTTAATAATAAAGCACCTGAGCTAATTTTTTTCTTTTTTAATGGAAAAAAATTGGTTAAAATTGTTGCAAAAATAAGAACAATAGAGACACGAAGAAATTGTATGTTCCTACTATTGAAACTCATTAATTTCATTTTCGGTTGAAAGTTTTTGCTATTAAATATATGCATATATTTTTCGGTTGATGTATTTTTTACATACAGGAAATATAAACAGAAAATTTGAAAATGACTAACAAAAGATATAATTTCAGTTTAGGGTTTCGATCGAGCGGTGTATTTTAAGCATTATATTTCTTTCGATGGCGAATATTTTTTTTTCCAAATCTCTCGGGTGTCATTTTCTTTTTGAAACCATATAGAAGTTTGAAAGACTTCTATTATGAAAAATTCAGGTGAATTTATCATTCCGAAATTTAAATACCCCTGATTGAACCAGTGAACATTTCAACTAAAAATGGAATCTAGATTTACTTCTATAAAAATAGAAGCTAAAAATATATTATATATGTAGCTTTTAAGAATATACTTACCAGGAAATAGTCCTTAGTAGAGAGAATTAAGTTAATAGTAAGAAAAAAACTTCATCAGATATTGCTAACTAGTATTGACACATTTAGCTATCTCG